TTATTTATTTATTTATTTATTTATTTATTTATTTATTTATTTATTTATTTATTTATTTATTTATTTATTTATTTATTTATTTATTTAGTGATTGGAAAGTACCAGCCTTTGTTTGATTATTTAGCCATTCTGAAGAAATAGCATCACATGAGATCAGATGCACCATCAGCTTCTTATTAGTACTTCAGAGTCTCCTGTAGTTTGTTGCTCTGTTGCCTCAAAAGCTGAACCTGCTGCTACTTCTTCACAAAAGAAGACATCTGCTCCATCAGGGAGGGGTTCCAGTAACAGTCTGCTGGGACAAAGCCTCAATGAACACAAAGGAACTTGCTTCAGGGTAGGATTGGATAGGATTAGTGTGGAACCCCAGGAAAAAAATAGAAAAAGTCATGTGATCCTTGGACAAAATCCAAAATGTCAAAGACAGACATGATGCCCAGTTCTGCAGGACTCTTTCTCAGGGTGGAAACTTGATTCAGAAAATGCTGTCTTCTTCCACAAAAGTACAACTGCATAAGGACATTTCTTTAACAAAAAGAAAAGTGGTTGTAGTTGTTATGCGCCACGTTGCCTCCCAATAAGTGATCTCCCAAATGCCCTGTCTTCAACTGCACTTCTCAGCTCTTGCAAAACTCAAGGCCATGGGTTCCTTTCACGGAGTCAGTCCATCTTGTATTTGTTCTTCCTCTTCTCCACCTGTCTTCCACTTTTCCCAGCATTGTCTTTTCCGGAGAATCCTGCCTTCTCAGGACAATATGCCTGAAATCAGACAGCCTTAGTTCCAACATTTTTGCCTCTGGAGATAGATCAGGCTTGATTTGATCTAGGACCCACTTTTTCCTCTTTCTAGTAGTCCAGGGTATCTGCAAAGCTCTTCTCCACAAGGAAAAGCACTTGGTTGCTCTTGGACCTGCCAAGGCTAGATCTGTTTGGCAGGTTTAGCCAGTTAAGTAGTCTTCAACCTTCCATCCATAAAATGCATCTATGACTGTTAAAATCATTGACCCGCAAAGGACTTTGAGATCCCCCAGGTTATCTGTCTATTTTAATATAAAAAAAAGAATAAAGAGGATCAGACTGCTTAGTAGTAGCAACTACAGCAACCCAGGGTTTTGTTTGTTTGTTTATCCTTTTCTTTCGCAACATTCCCCTGACTGGAAATGGTTTCTCACCCGCCTCAAGTTCCTGTAACCCGCAAGGGGACGGATGTAGTTTCCCTCTTGACGAACAGCGGTTGCTTGGAGAATCATCTGTGACTGCTGAGAAAACTCAGGGGAAAGCCTCCGTCTAATCTCCGTTCCCTACAAAGGGCAAGGGATCTGGTTACGGAACTTCCGTCTAATGAAGGGTATTTTGGCCAATAATTAGGACAGCGTCAAGTGATTTGGGGGCAGTGAAACACATATACAGAAACTTTAAAAATACTGAAATCAGTACGACAACAGTGCGCCAAGAGTGAAGTTCCCCAGAGATGAATAATCCAGCCCCCATCAGAAATAAAGGGCGAAACCCCAAAGGGAGAATAAATTACCCTTTCTTCTGCTTTGGTTTGGAGTTCCTGGATACCAGCGCTTATTGTGCTTTTTGGTTGGTTGGGTTCTGCTTAAGAACCGGGAACATATGCTCTACAGAGGGGTATTTTGGTTAACCCTATTTTGTTCTTGTTATTATGTGCCCTCAAATCGGATTTTCAGCGACACTAACAAGGCTTTCGTGGTCAGCGAGATATTTAAGACGCGCTTTTATCTGTTTCCACACCTCCAGTGAGTTTCCAAGGTTGAGGGGGAATTTGAACTCTGGCCTTCTGAGTCCTAGTCCGTCATTCTAACCACGACACTACGCCAGGTATCCAGTCCTGTCCTATCATTCTCACTTGATTCCCTTCCCCACTCCCGGCCCTACATGTGTGGGGAGGACGCACCTAGTGGTCTGAACTTCGGTGGTCGTGGGATTGCCACCTCACGTTTTAAGCCCTAAACCAAGACGTCTCCGTAATGGTTGCCCAGCGAATCTTTGCACGACGGTTTTGTTTGCTCTGTCGGCAGAGCCCTGTTGCTCCTGCAACGTGACTGCTGCGCCCGCCTGAAGCGCCTGGCCAGTGGCGAAGGAGCCTTCCAGGCTGCGGCGGGAAAGGAGCGGGGAGACAGCAAGGGAAGAAAGAGCGCCGAGAAGAAACTTTGGTAGGCGGGCTTCTTTCTTCCCTTCCTCCCTTCCGTGGTTAAGAAGTCTCGGTCTCCGGCAGGATTTGTCCGCCTCCCTTTCCAAATTGCAGAGCTACTCTCGGGCCTCCCACCGTTTCAGTCCCGCCGCCTCGTCGTCTTTTTTTTCCCCCAGGTGAAGAGGCGGCAGAGTCCCGGCGAGGAGGAAGGTGAGCGAGGGTTTCGCGCGTTGCTGGCCGGCGCCCCGGGGGACTGAGGGAGGGGGAGGAGGAGGAGGAGGGAGGGCAAAGCACGGGACCTGTGGGGCTTGCCCACTCCGCCCTGTCAGCCATATTGCGGCGGCCAGCGGGGAGGGGCGGGGAGCGACGCCCACGGGGGACCAGAGAGCAGCCGGAGCGGACGCGCAGCCGCTTCGCCCCGGAGTAACCAAAGGACTGGCCGGCGAGGTAAGGAAGGGCCGCCGAACGAAAACAACCCACCCACCCCGCTTCTCGGGGCTGGTGGTCCGGCGGGAAACAGGAAATAAAGCGGAGGCCTCGGAGGGGGCCACGGGGGGTGCCTCCGGGGAGGAGGAGGAGGAGCGGGCGAACAGGTGTCGTGGCGGAGGGATTAAGGCTTGGCTCTTCTCCCTGAGAGGGAAACCAGCCAAGCAGGTCCTTCGCGGAGCAAGACTTGCGTTTTCCCTGAACGGCCCATGACTATTTTCTTCAACAGCTTTCCTCTCCCCACCCTTTCAAAGGGGACTCCTTTTCGAGGTGCATGCTAAGGTGTACCTGCCTGCCTGCCTTTCTTCCCTCCTACCTCCCCCCCCCGCCGCCTTTCAGTACCATTTCTTTGACCCGCGCTCTGCTCTGCTCACCTCCCATACCACCGGGAGAGAGTCCCGCCGAATTAAGAGGAGACGGAGCGCCCCGGTCAGCGTCCAAAAGAAGCCCCACGAAGTGCGGCGGTAATTAATATCGGAGGAGCGTTATACAGCCTTGCGAATGCCCGCTCAAGATGACCTATAAAGCCGGCCTGCTTAGGGGTCAGCCCCGCCGGGTTCACTGGGGCTGACCCTCAAGTGAGCGTCCTTCGGATTGCCGCCTTAAAGAACAGGACGAGGGTATCAGGAAATTATTTTTAGTCAGCCAGGTTTTTCGTGTACACAAGAGCGGTAGGTAAAAAGTCTGGACACCGCAGCCCACCTTCCGTACGTGGGAACGAGAGCGTAACGTGAATATTCTAGTGTGGTTCATGAAGGACTGTGAATGAACCCACTGTAACGCTCGTGCTGCTGGGTCCAGATTCATTCACGTGAGATCCCAAGACAGGCACTTTATACACGTGGGAACTCTCAAGAGTTTTCCCCTCAGACTTTGAAGAGTCAAGAGGCTGAAACGATTCCAATGGAAACCCTGTAGGTTACATCATATGTAAAATTCGACCTATCAGGAAATTCGCCTGGCCCTGCTTGGTTTCAGCGAGGCAAAATGAAGTTGTGATTGCATTTCTTGAACCTGTTGGCAAAATTAAAAAGAGGATAAAGAAGAGAGAGGGAATGCAAGAAAGAAAAATCTTGTAGCACATTAATATATTTCAGTATGTGATATTGTAGATCTAAATCTATTTCTTCAGACACAGTGGGTGGATTTTGGATGCAGGAAAGGTTGCACTGAACTAAATTTATTAAGTCTTTGAAGTGCCCTAATATTTTACTTTCTCACCCAATCCCCTTTCTTTTTCTCTTTAATTTTACCAACATGCTGAGACAGATTAACAGGGTTTTACTTGGGAAATTTGTTGAACCTGTAAGGTTGCTGTGTTCCTGGAACTCTTATGGTGGATTTGTTGCTAGCAACTTGCTTACTCCAGAGTAGTCTGATCAAGGTCATACTGCTATCTTGAAAAAGGAAGGGTGTTGGTGTAGCAGCTATTACTGTTTCTAAGGAAGAGACTTGATAGAGGTTTCTACTCAATACTTGCTCAGATACTTGCATTAGCTCAACCCCCACATACCTACACTCTCCCTACCTCAAAAAGTCTTGAAATTCTAGTTGCTGCCATGGGCGTGGCTGCACAAGTGACCCTTTCTACTTGCAGTAGGACTCTTCTTTCACTGGGTGAGGCTGTTGGTTTTATGTTTTCCTCTAGAGCAGTGGCGTTACTAAGTAATTATTGGTCATGAGTGAATCATCACTGCTTACTTAACTTGCTTATAACTTCTCTACCATGCCATGCTCATCAGTTTAACTTTCATGTAATAATTATATGGATTCTTTGCTCAGGTCTCTTGGAAGAAAGAAGCAACATTCTTAGGCTGCTGCATGAATATTTGCTTTTGGACCAACAGGAATACTTCAAAACTCCAAAATGCCAAAACCAGTAAGTGCTTTATTTCCCCCAGAGGTTTCACTGTTTATTAATTAATGACTGTTCTTTTTTTCTATGACAGAAGTATTGTAAAATGTAGAGATACAAAAAAATTGTTCATTAGGTATATTTAAATGGACTTTAATAGTATCCGTCCATGTTCCCACTCAAACAAAATGTTTGATTTTTTTTGTTACAATATGTGTAAGATAACTTATTCTCATGATATGAATGAAATTATAATCATTATTATAATAGCTGATTAAAATTATAAGTGCCTAATTACCTGACTAATGATATAGTCTTATGCTCATTTCCCTGGAGTAAATTCCATTAACTCCATGGGACTTACTTCTGAACATATGAGATTGGGTTGTCTTCTAAAAACGAGAAACAAGTCTATTTCCTTTAACAAAGTTATCTGGTCAAAGTACATCGAATAGTAGACACGTGTATGTGTGTGTATTTGCATGAGCATTCCATATTTTTCTGTGTACTTACAAAATATGTTTTCTGCTGAGTAATCAATTGAATTGAGGTTGTCATTTTTCCTTAATTTGGAATAAATGTGTGATGCCACAGACGTATTCAACAGAGCTTGCTTCCTAATTCCACTTAGAACTGGCTCTTAGTAATGGAACTGGAGGCAGCTAATGTTTGTGGCTTCCTTCATTTATTTAATTCAAAGATTTAAAAACTACTCTTACAAGAACCCCCGTCCCCAAAGCACTTTCTCTGTTTAAAAACAATCATATTCAGATATACTTCAGGGATGTTCCCACATATATGGAGAGGACCTGATATCTCTCTTCACTTAAGAGTTTTGCCTGGAATAGTTGCTGTGGTCCTCTTCTGACCTTGGACTGTGTGTTCACACTGAATGACTACTGCTATGAATTACTTTGCACAGGTCACATGGAGACAAAGAATTTGCTTTTTCTGCAGAATTGGTATCTATGAAGCAGTTTAATAATGAACTTGGGTTTCAGAGGAAAAGCAGAATTCATTATCTTGATAAAAGGGAGGGTTTTTTTTTCCAGAAACACACTGAAGTATTAATGTACATAGTTTAAGCTTACTAAATGAGCTGTGGTTTGTAATGCTTTATATCTCATTCTTTAGCTATAATTTGCATTTTAGTGTTGTGAGTTCATGAGTAAGGGTGCTACATGGAAAGCTCCAATTCAGCCTTGCTGCAGTTTAATTCATAGCATGTATTACATTTGCAATTGCAGTCAGTGTTCACACAGGGGCTGCAGATTGATTCTGGAGTCCACCATTCATACTGGATGCAATGAGATTTGCATTCCAGCCCACAGCATCTTCTTTCTTTCCTTCCTCTGGTCCCACCTCTGCTGATTCTTTTGTGGAATGTAAATGCAGGAAATAATAATAACACGGACCCAGCAATAAGGTGATAGGGTGATCTAGTGCTAATTTCAAATATGTAAGTTTTTTAAAAAATAAAAATTTGGGAGGGCAATCAAGGGAGAGGAAACAATGTGAGGATGTCTTTGGTGAGGACACAGGAGAGGGCCTTCTCTGTTGCTGCTCCTAGACCTTGGAATTCTCTCCTATGGGAGGCTAGGCTGGCCCCATCTTTGCTGTCCTTCCGCAAGCAGACAAATACCTTTCTATTCAAGCAAGCTTTCCTTTACTGACTGGCTGCCTCAGTGGGGTTTTAAATGGATTGTTTTACCTCAAATGTGTTTTGGTGTTGCTAATGTTTTTTCATATGGTGTTTGACCTTTTTGTATTTGTACACTCACCACTGTTAGTATGAAGTATTGTCTTTTAATTATGTAAGCTTCCTGAGGTCCTATTTAAGAAGAAAAGTGGGGTAAAAATATCTTAAATAACAAAGTAAAAATTTTTTAAAAGCTGCTTTGAGAGCAAAAAAGGGCTGGACTGATTCCAATCAGTCCTTGCAGTGATCAATACAATTGCTTCAAATTCACCTATTTATAAGCAGAGCATATCTCATAGTATTTGACCATGTAGTCACAGCCTTAGTTTCAGTGTATGTTTGTTACATTGCCCAAGCTACAGAGAAAAAAATGTAGAATAGCAATCAGTCTATTCCACCCTTCTCTGTGTGGAATAGCAATTGGTCTAAATATAATGTTTATATTTTTGAGATCTGTTGCTTATATAGGAGATTCACATGCTTAATTAAAACACTATAGCTTCAGAGATAGGACAGTTGCTTTTAAGAAAAGTTGATAGAATTATATGATAAAGGAATCCACAACTGAGTAAAGGCGATATGACACTTTGGGACCTGAAGCATTGTTTTGTTGCTGCTCAAATATAGATGTTTTCAGTATATTATTGTATTCATTTCTCAAAAGTAACTTTGGTGAGCTTTCTGTGGGTACTATGTGCGTTCCTTGCTATGGTAGCATCAGCTCTAGAACACTGTGCCCAAGGACCATTGTGACTATGCTTCTAGCCAGATGGTTTGTATGGTGATTCTCTCGGGAAACTTACCATATTCAGGATGAAGTTCTGTCCTCTTAAGTAATTAGAGCTTTTGTGGTCCATTTCAAAATCTGCAAAGCTCTTGTCTCATCATGTCTTCTCTCTTGATCTGATCAATATGTTGCAACAGCTATAAGGAAAAAAAAACTACACATAGAACTCAAAACTTGGAAGAAATGCTGCGCTGGCTTGGGAATTGTTTCTCCAGAAAATGGACTTTTCCAAGTTCTGTTAGAGCTTTAGCTACTCTTCCCCCTACCCTCCCAGTACCCTACAGAAGAAAAAATAGTGGCCAAAATTATGCAACCAACCATAAACAGCTAGCGGTGTCTGGGGAAACCAGTCTGCTGTTCATCAAAAGAACTTTAGAGCCTTCAATCATATGCATGCTTAGTTAGGAATAAGTCCCACTGAACTTTGTGGGACCTCACTGTGAGTTAAACGTCCTTGGGTTGGGCTATAAGAATGCTTGAACCCTAGTATAGCAAAGATCTATAGATGGTTTGTATTTGGAGTAATAATTATGAAATGCCCTTTTTTCCCCTCTAAAAGAGATCATTGCCATTACTGCTACTAGTTGAATTTGGAAAACAGGCTATTGTCTCTGTGAGCAGAAAAAAGAATATCTTCTTTCAAGGAATTAAGACCAGCTTTAAAGCATTTGAAGTGAAGTCTGAAAGAGTGGGGGGGGGGAGTTGAAATTTTTTAGCAATTTCCTGATACAAGCCCACTCCTTTTGAGGAACCTTGCTGCCACAGTGTATCGGGAAGGTCTAGCTCCCTGATTCAAAGGTTTTTAATCAAGAGCCAGTTGTAATAAGTCAGTGCTATGCTTAAGACCATTAAGGCCATGCTTCTGTGAGTTCATGACTGCTTGTTACTGCTGTGGACTTTCCTCCTAAGTGCAGCATAGTTTGACAGGTGTGGCAAGTTGGACCTGTAAGGAAGGTAATAGTTAAGGCTGTGACTTGTGAAATGGGAAGATAAATACTGTATGTTTGCCAAATACTGATAGCTATGTTTCCACCCTTGGAAACTGAGAAGTTTACTTAATTATGTGTATGTATGCTAAGTATCTTTCTGTTTAAAACTAACCTGTTGTTGCTTAATCAAGAGGATTAAGTGGCATTTTTTAAAAAAAAATGGCATGAGGATTATATTTGCTAATATCAAGTTGTTTGCATTTTTATTTTTATTTTTATATTTCTGCAATACTAGCAGCTCTTCAAAAGTGTGAATTGCTTTGCACCTCCCTTAACGTTTTAATCTTTGGGATGGTCCTCCAAAAGTCATTGATTGTCACTTTACTGGAGTTGACTAAAAAGAGTTGTGGTAAGTGACCAGGAAAGGGGGAGGCAGGTTTGTGGTTGATAGTCTGATTAAGATAGCCAGTAGTGTGATAGCGGGGGGGGGGTCATTCTCTGTTTGGAGATGGAGTGGGGAACAGCCAGTATTGTAGTACAGTGGTGCCTCTCTTAACAACGTTAATGTGTTCCAGCGAAATCGCTGTAGAGTGAAAACGTTGTAAAGCGAAATAAAAAAGCCCATTGAAACACATTGAAAACAGGTTAATGCATTCCAATGGGCTGAATAACTCACCGTCCAGTGAAGATCCTCCATGGGGCGGCCATTTTCCCTGCCTGTAAAGCAAGGAATCTGTCCAAAAACACAGCGGGGGGCCATTTTGAGCAGCCGGTGGCCATTTTGAAAACCTGACGATCAGCTGTTTTGATCATCTTAATGCGAAGAATCGGTTCCCGAGGCAGGGAAACGATTGTCGGGAAGCGAAAAAAGCCCATTAAAACATTGTTTTGCGATCACAATTGCGATTGTAAAAACATTGTCATGAAGCAGATTCGTCGTTATACGGGGTAATCATTAAGCGGGGCATGACTGTATACTGTGACCAGTCTTTATATACAGTACACTGTATGGTTCTGGTTACTCTACGTAAAGATATGGGAAGAGATCAGGAAAAAAAGGAAAGCAGTATGATCAAGGAGTAGAAGCAACCCTACAAGGAAATATTACAGTGTTTGAGGAATTGTAGCTTAGAAAAAGAATATGTAAAGAAGGACAAAACAAAGGGGGGGAAATTATTTGTAGTGTGGCAAAAGTAGCTAGGGAAATCCCTTTTATAATACTGGAACTTGGCATCTGATGGGTAATATGTGGAAGATCTGACATGAACAAAAGTAAGTATTTCTACATGTAGCCACCATTGGTTAATTTGTTTCCACCGGAATGGTGATGCCCATCAAATTAAATGGATTTCAAAGGGGAAGTTCATGGAGGATACAGCAGTCAGTGGCTGCCAGAATTACACATCACATGTCTGTAGATATCATTTCTGAGGAAATTCATAGTGGGAGAAGGCTGTTCTCCTTGTGGGCTCCCCATTAACATCTAATTGCCCATGTTCTGATCGGCATGTTGGAGGTGATGGGCCTTTGTTCTGATCCAGTAGGGATCTTACAAAGGTCTTAATGTTGATGGGATGGGTGAGCTACAGCCAGTAAATCTGTAGACAAG